GAAGAAGAAGAAGAAGAAGAAGAAGAAGAAGAAGAAGAAGAAGAAGAAGAAGAAGAAGAAGAAGAAGAAGAAGAAGAAGAAGAAGAAGAAGAAGAAGAAGAAGAAGAAGAAGAAGAAGAAGAAGAAGAAGAAGAAGAAGAAGAAGAAGAAGAAGAAGAAGAAGAAGAAGAAGAAGAAGAAGAAGAAGAAGAAGAAGAAGAAGAAGAAGAAGAAGAAGAAGAAGAAGAAGAAGAAGAAGAAGAAGAAGAAGAAGAAGAAGAAGAAGAAGAAGAAGAAGAAGAAGAAAAGGAAAAGAAGAAGAAGAAGAAGAAGAAGAAGAAGAAGAAGAAGAAGAAGAAGAAGAAGAAGAAGAAGAAGAAGAAGAAGAAGAAGAAGAAGAAGAAGAAGAAGAAGAAGAAGAAGAAGAAGAAGAAGAAGAAGAAGAAGAAGAAGAAGAAGAAGAAGAAGAAGAAGAAGAAGAAGAAGAAGAAGAAGAAGAAGAAGAAGAAGAAGAAGAAGAAGAAGAAGAAGAAGAAGAAGAAGAAGAAGAAGAAGAAGAAGAAGAAGAAGAAGAAGAAGAAGAAGAAGAAGAAGAAGAAGAAGAAGAAAGAAGAAGAAGAAGAAGAAGAAGAAGAAGAAGAAGAAGAAGAAGAAGAAGAAGAAGAAGAAGAAGAAGAAGAAGAAGAAGAAGAAGAAGAAGAAGAAGAAGAAGAAGAAGAAGAAGAAGAAGAAGAAGAAGAAGAAGAAGAAGAAGAAGAAGAAGAAGAAGAAGAGAAGAAGAAGAAGAAGAAGAAGAAGAAGAAGAAGAAGAAGAAGAAGAAGAAGAAGAAGAAGAAGAAGAAGAAGAAGAAGAAGAAGAAGAAGAAGAAGAAGAAGAAGAAGAAGAAGAAGAAGAAGAAGAAGAAGAAGAAGAAGAAGAAGAAGAAGAAGAAGAAGAAGAAGAAGAAGAAGAAGAAGAAGAAGAAGAAGAAGAAGAAGAAGAAGAAGAAGAAGAAGAAGAAGAAGAAGAAGAAGAAGAAGAAGAAGAAGAAGAAGAAGAAGAAGAAGAAGAAGAAGAAGAAGAAGAAGAAGAAGAAGAAGAAGAAGAAGAAGAAGAAGAAGAAGAAGAAGAAGAAGAAGAAGAAGAAGAAGAAGAAGAAGAAGAAGAAGAAGAAGAAGAAGAAGAAGAAGAAGAAGAAGAAGAAGAAGAAGAAGAAGAAGAAGAAGAAGAAGAAGAAGAAGAAGAAGAAGAAGAAGAAGAAGAAGAAGAAGAAGAAGAAGAAGAAGAAGAAGAAGAAGAAGAAGAAGAAGAAGAAGAAGAAGAAGAAGAAGAAGAAGAAGAAGAAGAAGAAGAAGAAGAAGAAGAAGAAGAAGAAGAAGAAGAAGAAGAAGAAGAAGAAGAAGAAGAAGAAGAAGAAGAAGAAGAAGAAGAAGAAGAAGAAGAAGAAGAAGAAGAAGAAGAAGAAGAAGAAGAAGAAGAAGAAGAAGAAGAAGAAGAAGAAGAAGAAGAAGAAGAAGAAGAAGAAGAAGAAGAAGAAGAAGAAGAAGAAGAAGAAGAAGAAGAAGAAGAAGAAGAAGAAGAAGAAGAAGAAGAAGAAGAAGAAGAAGAAGAAGAAGAAGAAGAAGAAGAAGAAGAAGAAGAAGAAGAAGAAGAAGAAGAAGAAGAAGAAGAAGAAGAAGAAGAAGAAGAAGAAGAAGAAGAAGAAGAAAGAAGAAGAAGAAGAAGAAGAAGAAGAAGAAGAAGAAGAAGAAGAAGAAGAAGAAGAAGAAGAAGAAGAAGAAGAAGAAGAAGAAGAAGAAGAAGAAGAAGAAGAAGAAGAAGAAGAAGAAGAAGAAGAAGAAGAAGAAGAAGAAGAAGAAGAAGAAGAAGAAGAAGAAGAAGAAGAAGAAGAAGAAGAAGAAGAAGAAGAAGAAGAAGAAGAAGAAGAAGAAGAAGAAGAAGAAGAAGAAGAAGAAGAAGAAGAAGAAGAAGAAGAAGAAGAAGAAGAAGAAGAAGAAGAAGAAGAAGAAGAAGAAGAAGAAGAAGAAGAAGAAGAAGAAGAAGAAGAAGAAGAAGAAGAAGAAGAAGAAGAAGAAGAAGAAGAAGAAGAAGAAGAAGAAGAAGAAGAAGAAGAAGAAGAAGAAAGAAGAAGAAGAAGAAGAAGAAGAAGAAGAAGAAGAAGAAGAAGAAGAAGAAGAAGAAGAAGAAGAAGAAGAAGAAGAAGAAGAAGAAGAAGAACGTAATTACATTGCGGAAACCTTCATATAAGCAAAAAAAAACAATGTATTAGTCTTTAGATGTCTACCTTATCAATGTTAGCTTTATCCCTCTCTTAAATTTGTCAATGAAAAATGTGCAAAGAGAAACATGTTCCAACTGATATCAACATGGTGCGTTAGAAGTAATTAAAATATTTTTATGCTTATAATTTTAAATAAAACATGCCATGTTCTTTTAGTGCATATGCGATCATGGCTCATCACACTTTCCGTTTCTTTATTACCCCTGAGCCCAGACTAGAGTCCATCTTGCACATTTACAAATCGTCTGTGCATTGATTAATGCTGCCATATCTGGTCTGGTGATCATTATGTCTTTATTATATAGATATCGTAAAACTTATCATCGTGGAAAGTGGAATTTGGTGAGCCGAGTTCAGTTTCCGGCCTCATCTTCCTTGTTTACTTTCGCACTGTTGTCTTCGAAAAAGGCAAGAATCCATCTCTTCTCCAACGAACACCCCAAGCAAGACAGGAATGCCACTAGTACGCAGAGTTTACATGGAGTGTAAGTGGCGTTGCATTTAAATATTTGATGATTGTAGTTATCAGGGAAGCAATTAAGCGGTATTTCTACAGGTGAGAAGTACGAGAAAAGCTGTTGGAGTAGAAGTGGCGGTTGCATTTAACAATTTCAACTGTAAAATGGTGGGACCTAGATGCCAATCTAGTAGCATTAAATTCATGAAGTCGGGGTATCATGGGAAAAAAGTTCGTTAGAACAGTTGCCATGAAAATATTTGTAGAAAAGACAGAGGGAAGCCACGCCGCGTCGGTGAGAAAGTGACTGGAGTCGATAAGGATCGATTACATTTCAGATCCTTCTATCTATCTATCTATCTATCTATCTATAGACATCTATCTTTCTATCTATCTATTCTTATGTATCAAAACAATATTCGGAAAAATAATATATAATGTGAAATGCATTGAAAATAGTTTTAAGTACCTCAAATACCCTAATTATTTCATATTCAACGCGAAACATAAGACTCGTAAAATACTTCAAAATAAATAGATTGAACAATTATGACTAAGCCAACGAATCAAAATATATTATTCGACCCACCGACTCTATTGCAATTACAACTGAAAAGAATCTATCTATCTATCTATCTATCTATCTATCTATCTATCTCTCTCTCTCTCTCTCTCTCTCTATATATATATATATATATATATATATATATATATATATATATATATATATCGTTATTATTTATGGATTTTACCATCAACAGGAAGCTATTTTCCGCGGATAAAGAGTTTTTATTGTATATAAAGTAGGTGAAATTAAAAAAAAAGTCTATTTCTACAGAAAACAATTCCATGGTTGTTTGATGGCGTTGCAAATTGACAAGACATATCTGATTTCGACGACGCCATTTGCCTCTATCTGAAATCATTTTAAGAGACCAGCGTCTCGATATTTTATCTAGTGAGTTAATTAAAAAAAACAACAAAAAACAATTCACCTTGTTCATAAACAATTTCCAATGAACGAAAGTTGTGTATAAGTAGGACGACTTGAGGTATAAATGTCAAGGAAAGAATTGTTGATATTGCTTGCGTGACGTAGTTTCACAACTATTCTAACCTTGAAATAGCTGAAGTTGTTAGGAATGAACAGTTGAAAAGACTTAGCCAAATTAAATTGGATGTAGCTATTTTCAGCTGCACGTTTGACATATATCCAAGTAGGTCTTGTAGCAATGTCCGGTGGCGATGGAACAGTAATTACATTTAATCCAATAGTTATACTCAGAAAAAGACAGCTGAAATTTATTGGACACATAATGAGGAAAGAAAACTTGGAAAATTTGACACTCAGGGGACTTCTTCTTCTTCTTCTTCTTCTTCTTCTTTGTGCCATATCTCTAGAACTTTAGCGATCATGGCTCTCCAAGATCTATCTATCTATCTATCTGCTCTTAATAGATTTTGTCATTTGGCTGTTGTAGTGTCTTCCCTCTAATGAGTCTATTATGGACTCTTCCACTTACTATAACGTAGTAGGAAAAGTAAACCTCGGGGACGGTTATATAGACTGTTCTTCTGAGGCTGTGACTGTTCGCAGTTCTTGTCGAAATCTCTGCCTTTGGTAGAGAAGAACCCGGACGAGTCTGTGCTGAAGGCCAGAGTTTCGTCCGGGGAGCTAGACAGACCCGAACCCGTTTATGCGGGTTCTAATTTCTTGATTTTTTTGCCGAGCTGTCGGGCTCGGATGACCCACGTTAAATCAGGCCTTGTGCCATAATATGTCACCTTTGGGGAGGGGGTTAAATATTAACAGTGATATAGACTGCTCTACTGAGGCTGTTCGCAACTCTTGTCGATATCTCTGCCTTTGACAGAGAGGAACCCGGACGAGGCTGTGCTGAAGGACAGAGTTTCGACCGGGGAGATAGAAACACCCGAACCCGTTTATGCGCGTTCTACGGTGATTTTTTGGCTGTTAAAGAGTGTTAGTTCAATACCCGGTTAAGGCAGTGGGGAACTTTCAGATGGAAATTAACAGGCGATAAGTGATAACTGACATCCATTAAACATGGCACATGGAACTAGAACAGTCTACCCCAGTGAAATAAAGGGTTCAGTTCAACATTCCAACCACCTGAAGAAGGCCGGAGCGTACAACGGCCGAAACGTAATAAATATGGCGACAAAGATGAGGACAATAGTCCGAATAATGTAAATAATGTTTACAAAGGGATGTACTATTAGTAAAAGAAATTTTGTGTGCATAGTTTCTCTGTTTCTAGGGTCTCTCAGTTACTCCTGCCTTACGGCTATATTATGTTTGAACTACCGGTTCCCCTACGAACATCGAAGTTAAGCAACTTCGAGCCTGGTCAGTACCTAGACGCGTAACCGCCTGAGAATACCAGATGTAGTAAACTTGGATGTTAGGATTGTTTAATGAATAATGCCTCGGAATTGTTAATCAGAGAGCCGAGTTCCAATTCCAGTTGGGCTTGTTATATTCACTTACGCGTAAATACCCTTGGAAAATTATGAATCCACCTTTTCTGCCCCCAGCTATAGGTTAATTAATAAGAATTGTATAAATAAATCATTATTATCACCAAAAAACAAATTCTTTTTTTTAAGCGTTTCACCCCAAGCAAGGCGGGAAGACATTAAGTCGCAAGGGGTTACAGAAGATTTGGAGCAAAATCAGATAGGAGTGATAGAGGAAAGGATGAGGAGAAGGATAGTGGATAGATCAAGGCAACTGGAGATGTCGATTGACATTACATTTGAATAGTTGGAGATTATAGCTATCAGGGAAACAGGAAAAGGAAAGGGAGTTCCACAGGCGAGAGATGCGAGATATGAAGCTATTGGAGTAGAAGAGACGGCTACATTTAATAGTTTCGACAGCGAAAGGGTGAGAGCGGGATGCCAGCCTCGTAGGGCGCTTGAATTCATGAAATCTGGGAACCAGCGAATGCAGCTCCTCAGAGCAATTACCATGAAAGTATTTGTAAAAAAGACAGAGAAAGGCGACGACGCGTCTGTGAGAGAGCGACTGTAGACGAGATGCCAGAACAGGGCCAATTATATTGGTATATCCGCCTCTGATCTTATCAAGAACCCCAGGCAAAACAGAAGGGGCTCTAGACCATATATGGCAGCAATACTCATGCAAGGGCGAATTGTTGATTTGTTTATCTGAGGGATCGATTCCGGGAGAAAAATTTCCTGGCGCGGGGCAATAGGGAGCCAACTTTCCTTGCGGTGGACGAAGCAATTGACTCATGTATTTGTTCCATCTCAGGTCAGCAGTCAACGTGAGACCGGGCAGCCGCAGAGAGGTGCTCTTGAGAAGTTGAGCGTCAGACATTCTAATGGAGGGAAGGGAAGCATCTCTGTGGTCATTAATAGAGAGCAGTTTTGTTTTTTCAAGCATTAAAGTTGACCAGCGAATTCCTGACCCAGTTCACAACCGATTGGAGGTTCTTTTCGAGACGCACAGCCAGATTAGTTTTGTCAGTGACACTAGATTTGTTTTTGAGACAGGACTAAATTCTGGTGTCATTCGCATAGATGCCAACTTGGGAATTTATGGCGTCAGGAAGGTCATTTATGAAGATAAGAAATATAGTGGGGCCCAGGATGGAGCCTTGAGGAACACCTGAGTTTGTGGGATAGGAGCTGGAAGAGATTCCGTTGAGAACGACCTTCAATTCACGGTTTGACAAGAATGATTGTATTAGGTCAAACAATCGACCCGTAATACCATAACCCTGGAGATTGCGAAGAAGGCCGGTATGCCAAACCCTATCAAACGCTTTGGAGATGTCTAGGGCCACGACACGAGCTTCCACGTTATTTTGAAAAGCTTGGTAGACAGTTTCACTGATGGCCGTAAGCACATCAGCTGTAGATCGGGTAAAGCGGAAGGCATATTGCTTGTCTGAGAGCGGATCATGGGATGTAAGGTGGTTAACCACTTCAGTATTGATTAGGACTTCGAAGACTTCGCCGAAGAGGGGTAGGAGACTGATAGGACGGTAGTTAGAAGGGTCAGAGGGGTCGCCAGAGTTCTTGAAGACAGGAACAATCGAAGAGAACTTCCAGCAGTCAGGAAAACAAGATTCCTTGAGGCAGTAGTTATATAGTTTAGAGAGGGCGGGCGCCAGTTCAGGCGCGCATTTCTTCAAGACAATGGCTCGTATCCCATCCCCGCCACTAGCCTTGTTGGGATCGAAATTGAAGATAATGCCCAATACCAAAGACGGGGTTATGTGTAACCCATTCAATAGGGCCTCAGTTCTAAGAGGGAAGTCGGGTATGGGTACACCGGAAGAGTCGAGCGTTGAGTTGAATGAAAATTTCCAAGCAAAGCATTCAGCCTTGTCTGCAGAAGAGGTCAGGACTTCCAACTGGTTGAACAAAGGAGGTATAGAGGGTTTGCTATTATTCAATACGCTCTTGCAGAGACGCTAATAATCTTTGGAGCCAAATTTGCGAGATGCAATACGCTCCTTCATCCGAGCAGCAAATAGTGACTTAGCTTCGTTGAGGACACGTTTACACTCGTTACGGGCGGAGGCAAAGAGACGTCTATTGCAGTCCGACATGTCGCTACGAAATAGGTGAAAGAAGTGGTTCCTTATGGGCAATGGCGGCTGAGCAAGCAGCGGAGAATCAAGGGAGGAGCGACTTGACCCTATATTTTGATGGGATGAAAGGTCGATTCCAGCTTTAACCCAGGATGAGACCCTCAGAAGCCCATTCTTGACGGGGAGCGTAAAGACAACATTTCAGGGGACATCGCGGAGGAAATCACGGAACGAGTCCCAGTCAACTCGTTGATAGTAGAACGAAGTTCTAGTGGTAGGAGGTTCTTTGCAGGGGGGGTGGAGTTGAAGGAGATGTTAACAGATACTACAGCATGATTGGAGTTATCAAGAGGGCAGAGTTGCGTGGCGCTACAAGACTCGGGGATGGAGGTAAAACACAGATCGAGAAGAGAGGCTTTACCTTCAGGTTGAAGGCAAAACGAGTGGGGAAGTTAACTATCTGCGTAAGGGATTGAGAAACTGAAAAATTAAGTGTTTGAATGCCTGCGTGGTCAGTAGTAGCATTCTTAAGCCACTTGGTATGATGGGTGTTAAAGTCGCCAAACACAAATATGTGAGCAAACCGATGGAGAGAGAGAGCCTTGTCTATGCTGTCAGAAATGCTATCGAGTATCCCACAGTCTTGAGAGGATGGAGAGCGGTAAAGGAAGAAGAGATAGCTTACCGCATTGAGAAGAGATAGATGTACGATTGGTCTGGCGATTCGAGAGACAACTCTCTGCCCAGAGGGAGATGGTCTTTGACTTAGACACCAAGGCCGTGCATGTGGGTTAGAGAGTCTTTTCTGAGAGGAAGGTAGCCTGGGATCGAGAGATCAGAGGAGGGGATAGACGAGACAAGGTTGGTCTCACAGAGAGCCAGTATATCTGGGCAGTTTGCAGTGAGGAAAGATTCCATACTGCAGAAGTTTGTTCTAATGCCACGGATGTTGGAGAACGAAATGTTGAGGGGTTTAGGTGATTCTTGAGGGGCTGTTTTAGGATTACTTTTTCGGTCTTTGTAAGTCATTATGTGGAATTATGGTTGGAAGATGAGAAGGCCCGAATTAAAAGAAGCAGACAGTTATCGACCGTGACGTGGGCAGAGAGGAGTTGGCACAACCTGCATCATAATGTGACCTCAGGGTTGACCACCGGAGGTGACTGCAGGGACACCTTTCCATTCGCGACATGGCACTACAAACACCTCGGTATTATATAACTGTTGATCAGAGCGACCGCTCAAGACGCTACGCAATAGTTAGGGCTCCTAACTACCAGTCGGAAACAGCAACCAGAAAACTGTCAACCGTGTACCCTCAGAATCAAGAGGTGATGCCACAGACTGCACACATCACGGGAGTAACAGAGCTGCACTAGTACAGACGCCAGAGAGAGAGAGAGAGAGAGAGAGAGAGAGTGAGTACTGGGGACCCTTCCTAAACAAGAAACAAGGTGTAAGCCTCTAATGTCCAAGAGAAGGGGGAGAGGTGTTGACCGGGCGGTAGGAAAACCTACCTACTCCTATTACATATAACACATACAAGAGCGACAAAAACAAAGAGAAAGATAAGAGGGTGGGGGGTAGTTAACAAAGTGTCCAGGCTGACACTTGTATTTTACCCTTTCACAACACTAAGTTTTAACTTAGTATAAGTCCCATTGTCCTATTCTAAAAAAAGAAATTGAACAAAATAAGGTTATCCGGCTTTGTTGATATGTCATAAATGCCACATCATAACGTGGCAGCGAGTGTTTGTCCGCTTTCATTCTCATGATAACCAGTGAATGTACGTCTCACCTTAAGTCCAAGCATAGAGTTTCAACGAAACGCAGAGCTGGTGGTTGGGATCAATGGCCAATCCTACCAACAGTGGGCTTGGGAGACTTGCTTTCAATAAAAATTAAGAACGACAGGAGAAAGAAACGGCAAAAACAATTCCATGTTCGGACATTTTATCCAGCAAGAAATTCGGCCAACTATCAGGTCATCCCATAAGTTCTGTCCGAATTTTGAATAAAGAAAACAAGTGACCAAATGTTACATTTAATTACAGATTCAATCAACAATGTATTTTCCCTGATTATCTATGACTTCCTTTCATCTATTAACAAACTTACTAATTCCATTACTGTAAAATTCTTTTGGCTTTGATTCGAAGAACTCACAAATGTCAGTTTTAACCTCTTCCTGTGTTACAAAAGTTGTTTCTTCCAAATGATTCTGTAAGCTAGGAAACAAATGGTAGTCTGAAGGAGCAAAATCGTGAGAATAAGGTGGATGAGGAATTTTTCTCCCAACCAAGTTCTTCGATCTTTTGTGACGGGATTCTTGCTGTGTGGGGTCGCGCATTGTCCTAATGAAACATCACCTCTTTTCGATTCACTAGAGCAGGTCTTTTTTCCTCAAAGCTTGGTTCAAACGCTCTAATTGCTGACAGTATATTTGAGCATTAATTCTTGCATTAGGTTGTAAGAATTCAAAGTGTATTATTCTTTGGCGACCCCACTAGATTGAAAGAAGAACCTTTTGCCCATGAAGTTCCCTTCTCGGCTGTGGCTGGGGTCCTTCCCCTTTACCAAGCCACTGTCTACGACGCTTAATATTTCGATAAAAGATCGATTTTTCGTCGCCAGTCACAAGTCTATCCAAAAAAGGTGAAACAAGTTGGCGAGAATGGAGAGAAGAGCAGATGTCAAGACGGGATTTGAGGTTGTTTTCAGACAATTCATGAGGCATCCATTTTCCAAGTTTAGGAACTTTTCCAAGTTGTTGAAGATGACGATGAACAGTTGTATGGTATGAACTGAGAATCACTGCCAATTCC